CCATACCATTTTGGGGGTTCGTTAGTACATTATACCCCAAGAATTCTATTCTACTTATTAAGGCCCCTACATTACTCACGAGTGCTTTCGCTGTTGGGTTCCCCAGGGCCGTAGAGCTAATGTGCAATCGGGGGATTGCACCAACATTGCATTTAATAATGCCAGAGTAGATCCCCAAACAGCGATCGAGCACCACGACGACCTAGATGACCACCACCTCCGCGAACACCAGGACCACCGCAGCGACCACTCCGACCAGGACAACCACGACGACAGCCACCACCGCCACAACCCCGACCACGACTGACAGTAGACCGCGAGCAGACCAGCAGAAGACAGAAAATCGACAATCAGGAGACCACAAGAAGGCCGAACGGGGCGAGGGCTCCTATTTCCCGGCTCTATGATGCTTTAGCCGTTAGCCTTGAGATAACTCGGGTTAGCAGGATGGGCTATTCAATGTGAGCAATTTTATAAGGGTCAGAGGGGATGTTAAGTAGACTTTCTGCATCAAAAGCGATTCCAAGCCCTAAACCCACTAAAACCTATACCGGAGACTTGAAAGGCTAACGAGTTCTAGTCTTGCCTTCGAAGGACATACTGTTTAGGCGTCTTTGCGCCTGGCTGAGGAGACCACCCCAAAAGCCATACTAAACCTAGTCGGGTTTTCCCGGTAAAGAAGCCTGCAAAACTGCCACACAGCCCCCCCGGAACCTCCTTCGGGCAGCCTGTCAAAAAGGCCCTTCATTTTAATGCCTATACCCTAAGCACTAAACCTTCTCGAATTTATTTCTGAGGAGGCAGTGGAGCTGAATCTTGCGAGAGAGGCTTCGCAGAGTCGATCCCCTGGGTGGTTTCAAGGAGTTGATGTTTTACGGTTGAGAGTTTAGGGTTTAGTGTTATTACAGTGGTATATAAGTTATATAAGGATCGGAATAATTTGTAATAAATAGTGTCCCCCAAGACACTGTTCGAATTAACAAGGCCCCTAGATTATGTAGGAGTTTCACGCATGTGGAGCCTCGGGTCCAGGCTTCGGACTGTACGGCGTGTCACGCCTTTTTATTTATTGCACCACTACGTGGGTAGTTCTCTAAACTTTAGAGAAACTACCCACATAGCGGTGCAACATGTAAAACGCGAGATACGCCGTGCCTTTTAGGGTCCTTTTCAATAAGGGTGCCGTACGAGATTTGAACCAAAAGGCTCCCTAAGAGAGAGAGAGAGAGAGAGACAGAGAGAGAGAGAGAGCTAATATAGGGCCTTAATAATTACCTACACTATTGATGGGGTTCCTTAATTATCATATTTATCGTAGAATGGGCCCCAAAACCCTATTCTAATGATTAACGCCTCTATATTACTCATGTTCATGTCTGGTTCTCATAGCATGCTGATTCGTGGCTGGGCAGAACAGACCCACTTGCATGCTGCCTGCATCTGCTCACGGAAAGTGAGCCCCCTTGTGACGTAGCAGCCATGCAGCATGGGTATTGCAAGCTTCAGCTGAAGGCACGCTTAAGCTGCACCCATCCTTTAAACCCTAAACCCCAAACCCGAAGAACCCTAAACCCCAAACCCTAAACCCTCAAAAGCAGTCCCGAGGCATAGATGTGGACGCATTGCGGCAGCGTGCCTTCACTGCGCTGAATCAGAAAGGGCTGCCCCTCCGATGCAACTAGGCTCCTAGGGCTCAGGGTTTTAAGGTTGAATGTTTAGGGCTTAGGGTTTCGGGTTTTAAGGGAAAGGGTTTAGGCAGAAGGCACAGCAATCAATTCAGGCGTTGGGTGTATATAGGCTGTGAGCTTCATGTTGCTTGAAGTTTTAGTGTTCAGGTCTTCGGACCCAACACCCTGAACCATAAACGACACCCTAAACCCTACAATCCGAAACCTTGATCTCCTTACGCCACGAGGGTTTAGGGTTGAGGGTGTAGGGCCGCTTCGCCGAGGCCCGCCGAGCTGTTCGCTCATATAGCCCAGGGCTCGGCATCATCGGCAGGCATGGTGCGAGATCTGCAGGCTGCATCCATGACTGCCAAGTGCTCCAATTTAGTTTTACTGCGTGGGGTTCAGGACTATAGAACTATACTGTGATTAAATCATGGTTAACTATAGCACTCTTTATGCTGTGGGCGTAATACGATGTAGCATTGTATACAAGGGTTTGCGACAACAAGTTCTGCTGCGGGATCGTTTTCCACTTCAGCTTACGGTGTATACTGCCCCCAAACACCCCTATACCCGAGACCCTAAACCCTTCACCATGCCCGAGGTGAAGCGCTCAGGCAAGAACATCGAGAGGCTCCACTACCTAGGTAATCCATGGGAGCCGTCCCGGCCTTGGGGGTTTAGGGCTTATAGGGCTTAGTTGTTCAGGGTCAGGGATTCGGGTTTGGAGTGCAGGATCTAAGGTCTGTTGTTTGGGGTGTAGGATTTAAGGTTTAGGGGTTCGGGTTGGGAGTGTAGGATTTAAGGCTAAACCTTAAGGTTCACAGGGTTCAGGCTTTTGGATGGGCCTTGCAAGCCGCTGACATGACGCCATGAATCCTTGCCCTCGCCTCGAATGATGAGAGGTATGGTAGTTTAGCAATAATCCTAGATGTCATAATCGTAATAACCGTTTAGTATCAAGATGGCAAATAACAACCTAAGCCTAAGCAACCAAACCCTAAACCCCAAGCCATGAACCCCTAACCCCTACACCCCTGTACCCCTGAACCCCAAGACCCCCAAAATCCCTAGACCCTAAATCTCATATCCCGCCTGAAGCCTGGCATTTAGGCCCGGCGTGCTCGCAGCGCCAGCGCTGATGGTCTTGGCACCGGACTCTCAGGAGTCGCTTTGCTGCAGAACAATACAGGGGCCTTTGTTTTTGTTACTAATTATTTTGGGGCTTCTAAGAAATAGTTGTAGGAATAGGGTTTAGGGGGTAGGGACTATTTTGGGGGGTTCTTTGGGACATTTCGAGGGTGTAGGGTTTGGGGACTGGATAGGGTGGAATATAGGTTTTAGGGGTTCGTGTCAGGGTGTAGGCTTTAGGGTTCCATAAGGCTTCTAACAGGAATTTCGACGATGTAGGGTTTGTGGTTCAGGGTGGGGTTTCTAGCTTCTAGGATTCCTCGGCCTGAGTTCTGTTCTCTAGGTAATTGAATAAAGGGGCCTGCATAATTACCAATACTCTGGTGGTTCCTTATAACGATTATATTATAATAACCCCCCAAACCCTATTCTAATTATTTAACTTTACGCCCCTACATTATCTGACGCGACCACAGCTACCTCGTACCCCAACTCGGACAGGATGTAATTGAAATACGACTGATCATAATAACATTACTAATAATGGTGGTAGTAATAATAAGTATCAACTAAAAAGCACTATCAAGTAGTCGTAACATGCCTCTGGCGACAACAATGGGTAAGCGTTACTAATCAGCTAGTAAGCGAATATGGAGGAACGAGAACATAATATTCTTTCCAAGCAGGTATTCCTTGCCAATGCCAGGTTTGCAGGTGCGAAGGACGTCAACGCGAGATACTGCAAGCAGATGGAGGTGCCGACTGGCATTGCGAATGCAGGAACAATTACCAAGATGATTCTCCCTGGTTCCTGTTCGCAAATTTACTCTATTAGTACCCAAAGCCCTATTTTGATAAGGAAGGTCCCGCTACGAACACTGCATCCTGTGACGTGTTATGGCCTGCACGAACCTTCGTGCGGGTAATTCCCCAACTTAGGGTTCGTTTTAGGGCCTTTTTTATAAGAGTGCCGTACTACATTGGGGAGCTAATCAGGGACCCTACTTCAGAGAAGTACCCATGTGCATGCTGCAACCGTCACCAGCATGTCTATAGCTGCAAAAAGGTTCGCAACCTCAACCGTTCGACCCCCACATCCTCAATCCCGGCCCCCTTCAGACGCCCAAACCCTAAACGGGGCCCTACCCCTAAAGCTCTAAACCCTAAGCCCTAAACCCTAAACCCGAAACCCACACCCTGGCGCCCTTGAAACGCAAAACTTGGAGGTTGCCATAGGTCTGGGAAGCCACTACAACATGCTGCAGGCCCGGTGTGGAGCTTCTGGTAGGGCTTGGGGTTTCGGGTTTGGGATGGTTTGGGGTTCAGGGGTTCGTGTCTGGGTGAATTTCGAGGGTGTAGGGTTTGGGGTTTAGGGTGGGGTTTCTGGATTTTAGGATTCCTCGGTCTGATTTCCTGTATCTAGGTAATATAGAGGCCTAAATTATCACAAATAGTACAATATACCCCAAAACCCTATTCTAAATATTATGGCCCTACACCCCAAACCCTTAAAGTAGCCCTTACAGAACCCTTCAAGGAACCCCAAAACCTTGTTTCTAACCCTAAGCCCTACGTTACGGGTTTCGGTTGGTACAGGTAGGGCTCAGAGAGTCGGGTTTGCATGGTGCTTAGCAGGGTTTTGTAAGGCAAGGGCGTAGGTTTAGGGGATTGGGGTTTAGGGATTCAAAGTTTAGGCATCAGGGTTTTGGGGTCCAAGTCTTTGAGCCTAGAACACAGCTTGGCTGCGTTGTTGTAGTTTTGGGTGAGAGCCCCTGTCAAGGGCCCCTGTGCTCACTTGCTGAATTTCCATAAAACCCCAGCCGTTAACCCCAAACCCAAACCCTTCGCCCTACTATAGGGGCCTAAATAATTCCAAATACGATGGGGGGTTCCTTGTTATAGTTATAGTAAGATATCACCCCGACGCCACATTCTAATTCTTAACGCCCCCACATTGCGTCCTATCTGCTTGCCTAAGCCCAGGAAGCCTCAACTCAGAGCCATCTGCAGTTGACTCCCTAAAGAGCTGGCATAGGACAATAGAGCTTGGATACTACCTGCACTCAGCAACAGTTCATTAATATTCATAATATAGACATATTCGGCCCTTAATAGTACCCTTATTGTAGGCTGTTACCGTATGGGGGCAGTACTCAAAATGGAGCCGGCTTCGAAAAGAACCACTAAGTTTAAAAGCCCCGTTGTGACCCCTTAAGGATCTACTTTCAACGCCCTATGAAGGCCTCTAAACCCTAGAACCACCCATAAACCCTAGACCCCTCTAGATCCCTGTAAGGAACTTTTTTGAATTAAGGGTCCCGACACCTAGACATTGAAAGCACGCTAGGGATGGTACAAGTGTAGGTGCGAGGCTTGGCAACAGCGACTTGCAGAAGTCGAGTTCTACTGAGAGGTTTCTATCAGAGGTTCTTTAGGGGTTCTGTTAGGTGTTCTACAGGAGGTTCTACAGGCAGGATGGAGCGACAGGGCTCAGTATGATAGGAGTTCTTGCACCCGCTCTCGCAAGGGTTCTGAAAAGGGGTTTCGTAACGGTTCCTTAAAGTCTTAGCAGGGTGGGGCTGAGGTCTCAGCTACGGGTTTAGGGTTTAGGGTTTAGGGGGTATCAACATTCCCGAAAATCCTTCCCTGAGCTGGAACGCAGGCATTTCTGATTGTTGCTTGCCACACCTCAACATCAGCACTCAAAGGCACCTTCCCTAGACCTTAAACCCTAGACCCTGTTCAGGGTTCAGGGTTTAGGGTTTCATGACCTAGAGCCAAAACCTGAAACCCCATAGTATAGGGGCCTCAATAATTTGAATAGGGTTTGGGGCCCACTGTACTATGATTATAGCAAGGAGCCCCCCAAAATAGTATTGGCAATTATTTAGGCCCCTACATTAACGCCCTAATGTTAACTTCGCTTGAATAACCCCCCCGGCCCCCGAGATAGATTTTGGCCCCAATCAGGGGGGGATTGACTATTGAGGGGGGTCCTCTTGGGGTAGATTGTTTCGGAGCACGGTTGTCTCTCTAAAGGCCTACTAAACCAAACCACCAACAAAACAAACAGAAATCTCTGAGCATAGGGTTCAGTATTGAGTTCCTGGAGTTGAGTATTATAAGTGAGGGGGGCTCATAGTTTGAGTTCCGGAGATCGGATTTTATAATTGAGGGGGGATTATAATTGCCAAGTTACTATTAAACCCTAAACCCTGAACCCTCCTCTGCCCAAGACCCTAAAACCTTAAGCCCTAAACCCTCGAGCCTCAGCCCCGAAACTCGACACCGTTCGTCTTACCAGGGCGAGCAGGCCGTGGTCCAGGCTGGCATCGTCCAGCAGTTCTGGCGGAGGCCCTTAGGATTCAGGGTTTAGGGTTTAGGGTTTAGTAAGTTGGGCCAATAGGTTTAGGGTTTTCTTTTGTGGGAGTTCATAGTTCGTTGAAGCTAGTTAGTTGGTGTTGCGATATGTCCCCTGAATGTCTGGAGAACTGCGCCTCAGCATGCTTCCCAACCTGACACCCTTATGGTATGTATGTTATTGTAATTTACCACCAAAACCTTATTCCAAGCAAAAAGGCCCCTATTAGCTGCCATATGTTCTGAAACTCCGATCTGCAAGTCACGAGGGTTCGAGGCCTTTAGGAGTAAGGTTTAGGGTTCAGGGGTTTAGGGGCTTAGGGTTTAGCCATAAAAACCCTAAACCCTATTAGCAGCCAGGTTGACGCAGGAATACCACAGCTAGCTTTTGAGACTCCTATGTCACTTTCCGGACCCTAAATGTCCCCAAGGCTTGGCCCTAAGCCCTAAACTCTAAACCCTAACCCCGTAACCCCTAACCCCTACTAGACCCCTAAACCCTAAAGTGAGTAGAAGCTTGGATTCATGGCCGTGGGATTCATGTAAGCGTGGTAGCCTCACAGGAAGTTGTGCCTCTCCTTTGGTCTTCCGTGATTTGGATGTAGGGGGGTTTAGGGGTTTAGGCTTTATAGGCTTTAGGCTTTAGGCGTTTAGGGGTTTAGGTGGTTTAGGGGTTTGGGGGTTTAGGCTTTAGGGTTTAGGGTTTAGTTAGGGGTTTAGGGTATCAGTGTACGCTGGGATCGGAAGCGTGCTGTTCAACGTGGCTCTACAGATTACAGGTCGAATGATCGCGCTGTAACAAACGCCATAGCAATCCCTAAACCTTGAACGAACTTCGCCATACGGTCATGCCACATGCATTCTGTCAGCGCATACTTCCTGGGTCGACTCTACCGCAGACAATATCTAAGTCCAGATCCTAGTAGGGTTTAGCAGAAGCCCTAAGCCCAAGGCCCCTATCAACCGTAAGCCCAAGGCCCCTCAACACCCTAAACCCCCTAGTTTTGCCTACTGATGCCCCTGATTAGATGCTGCAAGGATGTCGAAGACTAGTGGCCGCAGCAAAACCGTTGTGCTGAGGCCGCTTGCATGAGATGACTACAGTTTGGGTTTAGGGTGTAGGGTTGACTCAGGGCCCGAAAAGGGTTCTACAATGCTTCTGCACGGTTCAGGTTGGTGGTTTGAGGGTCCAGGGTTTAAGGCTTGGTGTCGAGGGGGTTCGTATTTAATGTAGTGGCCTTAATTTTAAACGCTTCGCATCGTCCGCCTCGGCCCGGCCGCAAACAAAGAGGGCCAACGAACTGGTGGTGCCTTGAAGGCGCCGTTGGCGGAGCGGACAAGGACCGGGGAAGGGGAGGAGATTGCGTACAAACAACCAGAAGCGAGGTGGGGAATAGAGGGAATCCGAATAGGAACCGCTGACCGCTTCGAGGCGAATTTTGATAATTACCTGTTTTATTTTGGGGGTTCCTAATTAAGTATAGTATAACTACCCCAAAACCCTATTCTAATCATTAAGGCCCCTACATTATGGTTTAGGGGCCTGGAGCATCGACCATCTCCGGACCAAAGCCCATGAACTCTTAATCCTCACCGACTTCGGGCGACCCCTAAATCCTAAACCCTAAACCCGACCCCCTAAACACAAACCCCAAACCCCCAAACCTGAACCCCACACCCGAAAGCGTGGAGGATTTGAGCTTCCCGGCAGGGCAGGCGAAGACGGCTCTCCGGAATAATTTAATAGCATCCCCTTATAATAGCCCGTCTGTACTTCCGGTATAAAATCCACCAGAACCCTATTCCGATTGCTATAAGGCCCTTGTTTTGAAAACGCAACCTAGGCCTCAACCCGAAACCTAGACTTAGGGTTGGGGGTTTAGGGAGCCCCAAGCCCCAAACCACGGATCCCTAAACTCTAGACCCTAATATAGGAGCCTTAATAATTACCTATATTGTTTTGGGGGTTCCTTATTATAGATTGTAATTATAGTATAATAAATGGGGCCCAAACCCCTATTCTATTGAGGCCCTCACATTAGACCCTAGACCTTAAACCCTAAACCAGTGAAGCGGGTGGTGAAGGGGATAAATGTCCTGGATGAGGTTCAGTGCCCGAGCGTTTCATGTACAGACAGACTCGGCTTGCCCAGGATCATCACACGTGGACTCAAGCCCTAAATCTTTATACCAAACAGCCAACCTCTACATCTTGCTCTAAAGGCCTAAATACCCCTTAGTTGAGGAATGTACCTGAAAGTCATAATGTCAAGCCCACTCATTTGAGGCCATAATACCCTGAGCCGCAAACCCTAAACCCGAAAACCCTGAACCCTAAATCCATAACCCTAAACCGGGGCCCTGTGGGGTTTGCAGGTCCGGTGACGCCGGTGCAGCACGCATCTATGCAGTTCATGGTCTGGAGCCCAACGAGCTTCAGTGTAAGCTTCGGGTTTAGGGTTTAGGGGTTTAGGTTTTAGGGGTTTAGGGGTTTGGGTTTTGGGTTTCGGGTTTGTGACGGGTCGGGGTTGGTTTGGGCCTCTAGGGCCACAAATGGTTTGTAGGGTTTAGGGAGGTCGTCTTGTTTGGTTCGAGCTATGGCACAGAGCGTTGTTTCGAGTAAGTCTTGGGCTTCAGGTATTGAGGTCTGGGGTCGGGGTTTAGACGGTTTTTTCGGCTCTTGGGTTCTGGGTTCTTGCGGTTCAGAGCTTAAGGTTTTAGTGTTTTGGGTTTCAGAGGTTTAGAGGGTTGAGGACGCTTTATGGCGAAGGCAGCTGTGGTGACCTCTGATGAAACGCATGGTTCAATCGTGCCTGGCCATTTTGACTTCGGCGCTTGTTGTCACAAGAGCTTGTGATTGCAAAACTTCACTGGAGCTGCAATCTTGGTGTCGATTCCGAAGCCTGCTGCATTTCGAAATTCGCAAGGCGAACAACAAACCTGCCTTCTTGGGTTTGGCCTTGCAAGCAGCTCGCCACTAGCTGCTGCAGCCATGAAAGCTTAAGCCTAGAGGATGTGCAAAGCGGTGCTCGTGTCTTGGGTGCTCTCGGCTTGTGGACGCCGGCAGCGGAGGAGCCTGGAATCTGTGGTGCAAACAGTCATGACAGCGACGAGGGTGGCCGGCGTGTCCTTCCTACTCTCGGTGATGTTCGGTGTTTGGCGATACCGATTGCTCCGATGCCTGAACCGACCAACGAGAAGGTGACGATGGAGGACCGGAGGAAGTTTCAGGATCAGGAGGAGCAGAACGTGAAAGCTGCGCAGAGAGAGCTTGGCAGCAAGAGCCAGCGGCCTCTCCTGTGATACAAATCGAAGGTCCAAGCTTCGACATGCAGGCCATTTGCCGGTCCCCTTACGAAGACTCCGACGATGACAGCAACTGTCTTTTTTGGCAGATCCCTGGGAGGACTCATGCGAAGTATGTCCGACGGGGAACCCCGGAAAACGTTTTTTTATGTATGGGCTCTTGGCAGTCAGGGTTTCAGGGCATAAGGTGAACTCAAGTACGCTGGCTAGGGCCGGTTCTTGTTGGAAAACTTCTTCGAGCTGATTTCTACATGATCAGACAAAAGGGCTAGGGGAGTTTGCCGAGCTTGACGTTCCATGTAATGGGGGCCCTGTACAATTTTGGGGGTTCCTTGCTATACTTATAATAGAATGGTCCCCAAAACCCTAATCAAATTATTCAAGCCCCTACATTAGGAGCATAGTAGATGGGTTTGGGGCGTAGGGTGAATATCGTGGTCGTTACAAAGCGTATAGCTTCCATAATTTGGGTCAGCCCATGCGTCTTGCCAAAGTTCTGTACACAACAAGACCGTGAGTAGTTCGTAAATCCAAAACTTCCTAAACCCTAAGCCCTAAACTTCTTAAGCCCGAAACCCTAAACAGTGAACCTGAAATCCCGGTCCACAAGCCCGAGGCCCTAAATCCCCGAAAGCTTAGATCCTAAACCCTAAACCTGCGGCCCTTAACCCCAAACCGAAAGAGCTCTAATATGGCACTGTTCGGGTATCTGGGCTCCCCTGGGAATGATAGAACCAGAACTCCACTGCCCGCACCCAAAGTAGGCCGTCTAGGGTTTAGGGGTGCGGGGCTGGGGTTTAGGGTTTAGGGGTTGGGGTTTAGGGTTTAGGTTGGCAGAATCACGATCTCCAAACCAAAAGCCGTGAAAGCCACACCCCAAACTTGAACGTCATAGTCGCAGCATTTGGGACCTTGAGCATCAATCCCAAAACCCGAAAACCGAACCACCAGACCCTCAGCCCTAAACCCTCGTAGTGTCCCAAACCCTAACCCTTCAGAAACCTCGTGAGAACCCTTTCGAAGACTTTCTACAGACTTCCAGCCCTAAACCGTAAACCGTAAACCCTAAGCCCTAAACTCCGAAACCTTTATCTTGAATCCCCACGGCTTGTACTGGTGTAGTATAAGGGCCTGAATAACTATGGGGTTTAGGGTTTAGGGTGGGTTTCGGGGCATGTTATGCTACAGCTATAGTAAGGAAAGCAATGGAATACTGTTACTATTATTGTTTTCATTCAGTCTCCTAACTACGCTAAGCCTAAGCCCTAAACCTCGAACAAAAAACCCTAAACCTTCAAGGAGCCATCATCGATCCTCTAAAGGAGCCCTTAAAGTAACCCTTTCAGGCCTTGATGGCGATGTCATGAGCGATGGCTCGTCCTATGCCACATTGGCCAAGCACCTCGATCATTGCAGGCATCAGCTTAGGGCTTACGGTTTGGGGTTTTTGGGGTTCCTGTACGGGATCTATAGTGGTTTCTAGAAGGGTTATATAGCATTATATAGGGTGTAGGATTTGGGCGTTTAGGGGTTTAGGGGGTTCAGCGGGTTTATTGAAGGGTTTAGAGTACGTTTCGGGTATTTCAGGGTTAAACAAATTGTGAGCCGCGTCTTCTGGGATGCAAGGCGGGTCAGATTATCGGGGCATGGCCCTAAACCCTTAACTTTTCAGGTATTGAGTACCCTAAACCCTAAACCCTACCTTCGACTCCGGTGGTGTTTTTGTTGGGCGCCACTCATAGGCCTCTGGGGCTGAGTTGAGTTTTTGTTGGGTGTATGCGTTATTCGAGCTTGATGTAGGGTTTAGGGTTTAGGGGCTTTAACAAAAACCAATGTTTTTTTTGGGGTTCCTCGTTATCATTACTGTATAGTGGGCCCCAAAACCTTGTTCTAAATATCAAGGCACCTATTTAGGTACTATAAATAAATGGCTACTACAAGTGTTCTACAAAGGTTTTACAGGAGTTAAGGGTTTTTGTGTCTGAAGAATTGCTAATAGCAACCCTCCTTAACGTCCCTATAGGTTTACACTATACTACAACCCGAGGCTCTATTGCATTTATTGCGATCCCCAAAATGCTTGCTTTCGTGGAAACCCATGAATCTATAGCTTTCAATCCCCTGGTGCAGGGTCTGTGCGCTGGTGTATGAGGAAGAGGCCCACCGCACAAAACCAACCTACAGACCTTCAACCAGAGTTTAGGTTCAGGGTTTATGGAACCAGTAGTTTCAGGACGTACAAACGGCTTCTGTGTTCTTTGGTGTCTTGAGTGCCCATTCTTAGGGCGTTTAGGGTTTAGGGTGTTTCCGCGCTGGCATTGCTCATGAAGGGGGCGAGGTGGTATTGTCTTCTTGCTCCGTGATTTCCGTGGTGGTGTTTCGATTTTGTTCCGCTACTGCCCCAAACCACGTGCTAGTCACTGTCGGAATTCCCGAATCAATTTTGCGAATATCGGTGAAGACTGAATGCCGTATGATTCATATGGAGCGGTCCTTGGAGTGCTTAAAAGGCGGTGAAAAGTTTGGATGAGGGTTGAGGGGCATCTAGGATCCATCTGTTCGGCAAGAGCGCACATTTTATGTGCGTGATGTGTTCATGCCGAAAATCTCGGAGGTGCTTGGGGAGATCTTTGCGGAACTTTCAGCATCTCTTGCAGTCTTCTTAACTTCTTGTTCACGCCCCTGTTTTGACGTTTTTTGGCTCTGAGTTCACTCTTCTTTCACTTTTTCTTGACTTTTTTTTCTCACTCTTTGTTGGCTCCTTCTTCCGCTCCTTCCTCTCCTGCCTCCTTGCTCCGTCCTTGTCGATTTTTTTCCCAAGGGTCAGTCGCGAGATTCGTGCTGCAACAACCGGCATTCACCAGAACGCGAATAGGCCAATATAGTGTCAGCATTCAGAAAAAAAACAAATCAGCACCAAAAAGCACGCAGAAGTTATTCCAACCTGATCCTGTGCTTGCTGGTTGCCCTTATGAGTTGTAGCTTACTGAGATGTTGAATCATACCCAAGGAATACGGGAACATCGGAATATCGGTTCCTACACTTCTGATCTTCGTCTATCTATCTTTCTATCGATCTATCTATCTATCTGTCCGTCTGTCTGTCTGTCTCTCTATCAGTCTCTGTCTCTCTCTGTCTGTCGACCTGCCTATCGTTCTATCTATCTACCTGATTTGCTATCCGTTTGTCGGTCAACCTATCTGTCTACCTACCCGTCTCTCCGTCTGTCCAGCTATCTATCCATCCATCTATCTATCTTTAGGTGTTCGTCCGTCTAGCCGTCCATGTCCATACGTCTGTCCACCCGGCCACCCATCAGCATATTCATTACATCTGTATATGCACCGTCGTACCATCAGCATATTAACTACATATGTATACGCACCGTTGTACACAGTCAGATGTGCACGATGGTGAACACTTGACCATCTTTGTATACAGCCAGTACGAAACGATAGAAGGCATCCGGATCGAATGAGGCATGCAAAGCGAGTGCACTGATCAAGGCCTTCCGTAGACTCCTTCTCCCTATGATTGCTGCTGCTACAATCCCCTTCCCCTAAACCCTAAATCCCCCGTAGTCCAGTTACTAGCGCTGTCTACTATCAAGCTCGAGTCCCCGTCCTCTATTAGATCTTGAGAAGCTTTGTACAAGGACTGAGGCAAGCATTCAATGTAACAATATAGATAAGTATAGCTCGGGGCTTGTAATTAAGCGATAAGGAAAAAGCAAAAAAGTTTCAATCAGGGATGGGAATCAGTGATTTTGTGCTTTTTGCTGAGAACCTATCTTCGTACTTATGTAGATCCTAGACTATGGTAAATCGTATTTGCCCTGAGCACTAGTTAAAGCCCAGAATGTGAAGGCATATGCCTGCGATTCGGTGCCGGCGCTTGCATCCTGCTACAACCGTCGGGTGCCCTCTGCTCGGCTTTGCTAGCTTGCACAGGCATTCTCGGATGTCTCTGTCAAGTTTGTGCTTGTGTGGGGGGTTTAATGGGTGCGGTCTGTGGGGCAAGGTAAACTTTTTAACCTTAGCCTTAGCCTATTGCAATTGCCTGTTGCTTCTATGTGGGCTCAGTGCAGAAAGCATGATCCTTTGCTTTCCGCAAAAAGTACAGGATGGCACCTGGCCACCCTCAATAACTTAGGCAGGGATCATTCAAGCCTGGCCACCCTCAATAACTTAGGCAGGGATCATTCAAGCAGTGATCTGTGCTCGTGGCCTTCAAAAGGAGACCAAATTTCGCGCCCAGAACTCAGAAAGCTACAACACCAGCCTGGCTCACAACTCGTGGAATCCAGCCCCTCAGCCCTAAACCCTAAACCCAAAGCATGTCGGATTTTCGGGTCACCCAGAGAGGACAATAAGGGTTTAGGTTTTGGGGTTTAGGGTCTAGGGTTTGGGGGTTAGGGTTTAGCGGCCTATACCTCTTCACTAAGCAATATGTGTTTGAATTATGCAGTGCCGCTCATTAGTTTATGGTGCAGGGTTCAATACCGCTTAATGAAGCAGCATACGTCTAAATCACAACAAGAAGACTCCAGAAGCATTTTGCCGCGTGACTGCCCTAAACTGTATAGAGCCCTTCTCAACCCGAACGGAAATCCAAGACCCTAATAACCCTAAACCCTGGAGAGCCCTGAAGAGCCCTTGTGAAACCTACACAGCTCTGGCTGTCCAGTCGGCCTCGTACCTGCGAAAAAATCCTTCGAACGACTGACTAAACTAATGCTGCTACGTACTACTGCTATCATTATTATTCTAACTACTACTCCACTACCAGTGCTACCACCACCACCACCACCACCACCACCACCACCACCAGCACCACCACCACCACCACCACCACCACCGGCAACAACAACAACAGCAGCAACAACAACAACTACTACTGCTACTAGTACTGCTACTGCTACTGCTACTGCTACTGCTACTGCTACTGCTACTGCTACTGCTACTGCTACTGCTACTGCTACTGCTACTACTACTACTACTAGTACTACTGATACTAATATTCATTTTAATATTAATGCTAATACTATTACTCATACTAGTACTAATACTAATACTCCTCTGTTTCATCATCATTACTACTGCTATTGTTATGATGCATGATGATGATTTCTAGAATTGCCGCTAGCATCAGCATGGATCTTGAATTCCTTTAGGCTTTTAACGCTTGCAAGCTCCTTGTATGACAGATTAGCCGGATGGGCATCTGCTGCCAGACTGCCGTGTGAGGAAACGAGCCGGGAATGTGCAAGCCGAAGTCCATCACAGCTTCCAGTCCCCCCAAATGGAAACCCTAAACCCGAACCCCTAAAACCTAAACCAACAATACCATGGCAGGTCTTAGATGATGCCAGAAAGAACGGTGACGTCTCGGCCGGTCTCCCAGCCATGCAGCAGATTTCTGGTCATGGGTGATATGTAAGTCGTACATGCCCTATGATATCTAATATCACATATGGTGTCTTACGTCTTATATCATACATCCATAGTAACTTCACAAGATCTCCAAAAGATACTTGCTGAGCCCGAGGACGCGAATCCCATCATTGTCGCAGGCGCGAGATTGCTTGTCCCGGGCGAAGGTTTACTTACCATGTACTCCCCTCAATAGTAAACCCTAAACCCCCTGGTCCAGGCTACTCCTACGGCTGCGTGGTGGCCCACCAGATGGCCTGCCAACTCGAAGAGGTGGGAGACCTTAACGGTTTAGGGTTTAGGGTTTGGGAAGGTTAGGGCGTAGGGTTCAAGACGTAGGGCTTTAGGGTTTAGGGTATGATAGCCAGTAGTAAGTAGTAACAGTATAGGATTATGGGCTTCCTCCTTCTCCTCTTCATACTAGCAGCGAGGCTAGCAACAATTCCAATAGCGAACTAATAGAAATCGTCGTTTGAATAGTATGAGGAGTAGTCGATCACTAGCAACCCTAGTTACAGTTATGGTGTGAAGCGTATTCCTGGTCATCATCATAGTAATCAAGGTAGTACTACGACACCGCGCTAACGGTAATGCCGCTGTCCCTAAATCCAGACAACAAGAAGCGCACAGTCCTTAAATGCTCCAAGAGATTGTAAAGAACGCTCAACCTTACAGGGTTTAGGGTTTGAGGGTTTAATTAACCTTAAGCTTCAACTGCCAAGGGAGTCTTCTGCTTTGCGCTCTTCCCCAAGCCCTAAACCCCAAACCGGGCAGGCCGGCATATCCGTGTGCCTGATACTCTTCGACCTGGAGGCGCACGAAGCCGGAAGATGAAATGCCCAACCCCCCCCCTTCCCTCAAAACGTCCTTAACACCCTAAAGCAGCAAATCGTAGGACCCCAGAAGCCTTGTTTTATGGAAGAACTGTCATGGAACCCTTTCATCCCACTTGTCTTGAAAATGCGCATGACTGGTCGCCAAGCCGCTCCGTGGCCAGGTTACGTGGCCGCCTCCGGTGACGAACTCCCGTGTTGGTGGCTATAGCTTCCTCGGAGGAGAGGCTGAGGTGACTCAGCTTCGGGCCGTCGTTTTTATCCATTCGTTTGTTCGTTCATTCTTGCGGCACCATGGCTTGGTTGACCTTCTTTTGAAGCTGAGTAGAGTCATATGTGCTGCTATCCTCTCCTTAGTTATATCATCGGTGTTTCCAGTTTTTGTTCATACTGTTCTGATTCTGAATTATGACTGTCAGTTCGAGTCTCATCGGTCCTACTTGTAGTCTTAGATTAAGGTGTTGCAACTATTTCTTACTTCTGTGACTTTTGAATATTAAAACTCCTGTATCAATGTTGCTATTGTGTATTGGTCGCTCTTGTGGTTATTAGTTGACGAAGCGTGTACCATTTGTTACTTTCTCAATCTTTGGAAACATTCGTTATAGTTGTTTGCTGGTTTAATCCTCTACGTCCTCTTATTTCCGGTTTTCTACCATGTGTTGTAGCTGTCGCTACTGTTCGTACCTTTCTCTATCTACACCTACTTGTATGTCCAAACAAGTATGTATATATATACAGAGATGGACAGATATGTTTTTTACGCAAATACATATGCACATGATCAATCATTGACCTACTGATGCATTTCACATGTTTTGCTGTTTGTTTATGCGTTAGTGTGTCTTTGCTACTTCGCTTCTTTACTTCAATACTTATTGTTCATGATCCGCTGACTCGTGCTTGTTTCTACTTGTGGTTGATATGATCGTTATTGTTCGTTATTGTCGTCCTCATTAGTCGTCGTCGTTGTTGTCGCCGTAGCAGTAGCAGTCGTCCGTCCTAGTAGTAGCAGTAGCAGTAGCAGTAGCAGTCAAAGTTGCAGTCAAAGTCGCAGTCGCAGTCGCAGTCGCAGTCGCAGTCGCAGTCGCAGTCGCAGCAGTAGCAGTAGCAGTAGCAGTAGCAGTAGCAGTAGCAGTAGCAGTAGCAGTAGCAGTAGCAGTAGCAGTAGCAGTAGCAGTAGGAGAGTAGGAGAGTAGGACAGTAGGACAGTAGGACAGTAGGAGAGTAGGAGTAAAAGTAGGAGTAGGAGTAGAAGGAGTAGCAGTAGTAGTAGTAGTAGTAGTAGTAGTAGTAGCAGTAGTTGCAGTAGTAGCAGTGGTATTAGTAGTAGTAGTAGTAGTAGTAGTAGTAGTAGCAGTAGGTAGTAACTTCCGATCAGTATCAGTCTTGGAGCTCGTGCAAACTGGAGTGCTCTGCTTTCGCTTCTTAGGCGATTCTGCTCATCTCACGCGCCTTTGGCAAGTTCGAGTTTGCCATGAAGGCGCAAAGCGACACTATCACGAAGGTAAGTCCCAGGGACCCCGAACCCCTAAAACCCTAAAGCCCTAAACCCTTAAACCGTAAACCCTGAAACCCTAAACCCTAAACCCCTGAACCCTAAACCGATCTAGTTCGGCGGCCATGGCAAGTCAGGAACCCTAGGGTGCCTTCAGCCTTAAACCTTGCCCTACCCTGACCTGCTAACTAAACCCTAAAAATTAGGGGCTCAGATAATTTACCCATACCAAGAGGGGGTTCGTTATTATCGTTTTTGGTATATATTATACCCCAAACACTCTGTTCTAGTTACTAAGGCCCCTACACTACTCTAAACGGGGGACGAGTGCTTTCGCGTTGGGTTTGGGAGGGCCCCCAGGGCCGTAGAGCTAGTGTGCAATCGGGTGATTGCATCAACATTGCATTTAATCATGCCAGAGTAGATCCCCAAACAGCGATCGAGCACCACGACGACCAAGATGACCACCACCTCAGGACCACCGCAGCGACCACTGCGACCACGACGACAGCCACCACCACCACCACCACCAACACCACCACCACCACCACCACGACTGACAGGACACCACGAGCAGACCAGCAGGAGACCCCAAAGAGACAATCAGGAGACCACCAGAAGACCAAACGGGGCGAGGGCTGCCAATCCCCTGCTCTATGGATGCTCCTTTAGCCGTTAGCCATTAGATAACTCGGTTTAGCAGGATGGGCTATTGAATGTGAGCAATTTCTATATTGGTCAGAGGGGATGTTAAGTAGACTTGCTGCATCAAAGCGATTCATCTCTCTTCGCTCCAGGAGCCCGAAGCCCTAAACCCACTAAAACCCTATACCGGAGACTCGAAAGGCTAACGAGTTCTTGTCTTGCCTTGGGGTTGAAGGACCGAAGGACATACTGTTTAGGCGTCGGTGCGCCTGGCTGAGGAGGCCACCCAATACTAAACCTAGTCGGCTTTCCCGGTAAACAAAGAAGCCTGCAAAACCTTCACAAAGCCTCACCGGAACCTCCTTCGGGCAGCCTGTGAAAAAGACCCTTCATTTTAAAGCCTAAACCTTAAGCACTAAACCTTCTCGAAATTATTTCTGAGGAGGCAGTGGAGCTGAATCTTGCGAGACAGGCTTCGCAGAGTCGATCCCCTGGTTGGTTTCAAGGAGTTGAGGGTTTGCGGTTGAGAGTTTAGGGTTTCGTGTTATTACGGTAATTATATAAGGGTCGGAATAATTTGTAATAGTTAGTGTCCCCCAAAGCCCTGTTCGAATTAACAAGGCCCCTATATTGGGAGTTTCACGCATTTGGAGCCTCGGGTATAGGCTTCGGAGTGTACGGCGTATCACGCCTTTTGTGTATTGCACCACTATGTGGGTAGGTCTCTAAACTTCAGAGAACTACCCACATAGCGGCGCAATTCACAAAAGGCGAGATGCGCCGTCCCTTTTAGGGTCCTTTTTAACAAGGGTGCTGCCGTACGAGATTTGAGAACCAAAAAGGCTCCTAAATTTGAGAGCTAATATAGGGCCTTAGATAATTACGTACACTATTTTGGGGGTTCCTTATTATATTTGTAGTACAAGGGGCCCCAAAACCCTATTCTAATTATTAAGGCCTCTGTATTACCCATGTTGATGTCTGGTTCTCATAGCATGCTGATTCGTTGAGCCCCCTGTGACGCAGCAGCTATGTAGCATGGGTATTGCAAGCTTCAGCAGAAGGCACGATTAAGCTGCTCCCATCCTTTAAACCCTAAAACACAAACCCGAAAAACCCTAAACCCCAAACCCTAAACCCTCAGAAGCAGTCCCGAGGCATAGATGTGGATGCATTGCGTCAGCGTGCCTTCACTGCGCTGAATCAGAAAGGGCTGCCCCTCCGATGCAACTAGGCTCGTAGGCTCAGGGACTGAGCGGTTTAGGGTTTGAGGGTTTAGGGCTTAGTAACTTGGGGTTTAGGGTTTTAGAGTTTAGGGTTTAGGGTTTGGGCAAAAGGCACAGCAATCAATTCAGGCGTTGGGTGTATATAGGCTGTGAGCTTCATGTTGCTTGGAGTTTTAGTCTTTAGGTCTTGCCCTAACGCCCTGAACCATAAACGACACCCTAGACCTGACAATCCGAAACCTTGATTTCCCTACGCCACAAGGTTTAGGGTTGAGGGTTTAGGGCCTGTTCGCCGAGGCCCGCCGAGCTGTTTGCTCATATAGCCCAGGGCTCGGCAGCATCGGCAGGCATGGTGCGAGATCTGCAGGCTTACGCATTCATGACTGCCAAGTACTCCAATTTAGTTGTACTGCCTGGGGTTCAGGACTATAGAACTATACTGTGATTGAATCATGGTTAGCTATAGCAGTCTTTATACTGTGGCGTAATACGATGTAGCATTGTATACAAGGGTTTGCGACAGCAAGTTCTGCTGCGGGATCGTTTTCCACTTTAGCTTATGGTGTAGACTGCCCCCAAACACTCAATGCACCCTAAACCCTAAACCCGAGACCCTAAACCCTCAACCCTGAACCCTCCACCATGCCCGAGGTGAAGCGCTCAGGCAAGAACATCGAGAGGCTCCACCACCTTGGTAATCCATGGGAGCCGTCCCGGCCTTGGGGGTTTAGGGCTTATAGGGCTTTGTGTTTTTTGTTGTTCAGGGTTCAGGGGTTCGGGTTTGGAGTTTGTTGTTTGGGGGTGCCGGTATGGGGTGTAGGATTTGAGGCTAAACTTAAGGTTCACAGGGTTCAGGCCTTTGGATGGGCCTTGCACGCCGCTGACATGACGCACTGAATCCTTGCACTCACCTCTAATGATGAGAGGTATGGTAGTTTAGCAATAATACTAGATGCCATAATCGGAATAATCGTTTAGTATCAAGATCGGGAATAACAACCTAAGCCTGAGCAACGAAACCCGAAACCCCAAGCCATGAACCCCAAAACCTCTAAACCCCCAAACCCTAACCCCTAAACCCCTAAACCCCTCAACACCAACACCTCTAAACCCCTAAACCCTAATACTCCCAACCACCATTCTCACCAAACCCCAATCCCTATCCCGCCTGAAGCCTGGCTTTTAGGCCCGGCGTTTTCGCAGGGCCAGCGCTGATGGTCTTGGCACCGGACTCTCAGGAGTCTCTTTGCTGCAGAACAATAAAGGGGCTAAGAAACTTTACCAATACTATTTTGGGGCTTCCATGTAGGAATAGGGTTTAAGGGGTAGGGACTATTTTGGGTGGTTCTTTGGGGCATTTCGATGGTGTAGGGGTTCGTGTCAGGGTGTAGGCTTTCGGGTTCCAGAAGGGTTCTATCAGCAATTTCGAGGATGTAGAGTTTGGGGTTTAGGGTGGGGTTTTTAGATTTTAGGATTCCTCGATCTGATTTCTGCTATCTATTTAAATGAATAAAGGGGCCTACATAATTACCAATACTATTTTTGGCGGTTCCTTATAATGATTAGATTATAATAAACCCCCCAACCCTATTCTAATTATTTAACTTTACGCCCCTACATTATTATCTGACGCTACCACAGCTACCTCGTACCCCAACTTGGACAGGATGTAATTGTAATACTGCTGATAATAATAACATTACTAATACTGATGATCGTGATAATAATACATTTTTTTCACAAGCACTATCAAGTAGTCGTAACATGCCTCTGGCGAGAACAATCGGTATGCGTTACTAATCAGCTAGTAAGCGAATACGGAGGAACGAGAACATAGTATTCTTTCCAAGCAGGTATTCCTTGCCAATGCCAGGTTTGCAGGTGCGAAGGACGTCAACGCGAGATACTGCAAGCAGATGGAGGCGCCGACTGGCATTGCGAATACAGGGGCCTGAACAATTACCAAGATGATTCTCTCTGGTTCCTGTTCACAAATATACTCTATTATAACCCAAAGCCCTATTCTGATTAGGAAGGCCCCGCTACGAACACTGCATCTTGTGACGTGTTATGGCCTGCACACGCCTTCGTGTGGGTAATTCCCTAAATTAGGGTTCCTTTTAGGGCCTTTTTTTATAAGAGTGCCGTACTACATTGGGACCTATTACGGGGCCCTACTTCAGAGAACTACCCATGTGCATGCTGCAACCGTCGCCAGCATCTCTAGAGCTGCAAAAAGGTTCGCAACCTGAACCGTACGGCTCCCACATCCTCAATCCCGGCTCCCTTCAGACGCCCAAACCCTAGACGGGGCATCCCTGGCGCCCTTGAAACGTACGACTTGGAGGTTGCCATAGGTCTGGGAAGCCACTACAACATGCTGCAGGCCGTGTGGAGCTTCTGGTAGGGCTTGGGGTTTCGGGTTTGGGATTCATGGTTCAGGAGTTCGTGTCTGGTTGTAGGCTTTGGGGTTGCATAAGGCTTCGGGGTTAAGGGTGGGGTTTTTAGATTTTAGGATTCCTCGGTCTGATTTCCTGTATCTAGGTAATATAGAGGCCTAAATTATCACAAATAGTATAATATACCCCAAAACCCTATTCTAATTGCTAAGGCCCCTACACCCCGAACCCTTATAGTAGCCCTTACAGAACCCTTCAAGGAACCCCCAAACCCTGTTTTAAACCTTAGGCCCTACATTACGGGTTTCGGTTACGTAGGGTTCAGAGAGTCGGGTTTGTATGGCTTTGTAAGGCAAGGGCGTAGGTTTAGGGGATTGGGGTTTAGGGATTCAGAGTTTAGGCATCAGGGTTTTGGGGTCCAAGTCTTTAAGCCTGGAATACAGCTTGGCTGCGTTGTTGACTTTTTGGGTGAGCCCTGTCAAGGGCCCCTGTGCTCACTTGCTGAATTTCCATAAAAGCCCAACCCTCAACCCCAAACCCAAACCCTTCGCCCTACTATAGGGGCCTAAATGATTACCAATACTATGAGGGGTTCCTTGCTGTAGTTATAGTAAAAAATATCACCCTGAAGCCCCATTCTAATTCTTAAGGCCCCTACATTGCGTCCTATCTCCTTACCTAAGCCCAGGAAGCCTCAACTCAGAGCCATCTGCAGTTCATTTTTAGACTCCCTAAAGAGCTGACATGGGGCAATAGAGCTTGGATACTACCCCCACTCAGTAACAGTTCATGAATATTCATAATATGGACATCTTAGGCCCTTAGTAGTACCCTTATTCTAGGCTGCTACTGTATGCGGGCAGTACCCAAATAGAGCCGGCATGGGACAAAAGAAGGATCCTGATTAGATGAGCCACTGAGTTTAAAAAGCCCCGCTATGACCCCAAAAGGATCTACTTTCAAGGCCCCACAAATGCTTCTAAACCCTCGAACCCCCCATAAACCCTAGACCCTTCTAGATCCCTGGGGGCCTAGAGATTGAAAGCAAGCTAGAGCTGGTACAAGAATAAGTGTGAGGCTTGGAAACAACGACTTGCAGAAGTCCGGTTCTCCTGAGAGGTTTCTGTCAGAGGTTCTTTCGGGGTTTTGAGGGTTTAGGGTTCAGGGTTTTGCTAGGTGTTCTATAAGAGGTTCTACAGGCAGGATACAGCGACAGGGCTCAGTATGATAGGAGTTCTCGCACCCGCTCTCGCAAGGGTTTTTAAAAGGGGTTTTCGTAACGGTTCCGTAAAGTCTTAGCAAGGTGGGGCTGAGGGCTCAGCCACTGGACCAGGGTTTAGGGTTCAGGGGGTATCAACATTCCCGAAAATCCTTCCCTGAGCTGGTGCAACGCAGGCATTTCTGATTGTTGCTTGCCACACCTTAACATCAGCACTTAAAGGCACCTAACTCTAGAAACCCTAAAACCCTAAACCGATGAAGAACCTTTATAGAGCCCTTAAGGAGCCTTCCTCGCGGTTCGACCCGAACCCCAGAACCCTAAGCGCATAGACCCTAAACTGGCCCTTGATCTTAAACCCTAGACCCTGCATAGGGTTTAGGGTTCTTGGTTTAGGGTTTCATGACCTAGAGCCAAACCCTGAAACCCCATAATATAGGGGGCCTTACGAATTTAATTAGAATAGGGTTTTGGGGCCCACTATACTATGATTATAGCAAGGAGCCCCCAAAATAGTGTTGGCAATTTTCTAGGCCCTACATCGCCACCCTAAACCCTAAACCCTGAACCGTCCTCTGCCCAAGACGCTAAACCTTAAGCCCTAAACCCTAGAGCCTCAGCCCCGAAACTCGACACCGTTCGTACCAGGGCGAGCAAGCCGTGGTCCAGGCTGGCATCGTCCAGCAGTTCTGGCAGAGGCCCTTAGGATTTAGGGTTGAGGGGAGTCTGAATTGGGTCATTAGGTTTAGGGTTTTCTTTTGTGGTGTTCATAGTTCGTTGACGCTAGTTGGTGTTGTGATATGTCCCCTCAATGTCTGGAGAATTGCGCCTCAGCATACTTCCCAAGACACCCTATACCCTCCAACCTCTCTGAACCCCAAACCCTAAAGCCCTGAACCCCAAGCCCTAAACCCCAAAAACCCCAAACCCAAAAGCCCTGAAACCCTGAACCCCAAGCCCCAAACCCCAAAAACCTCAAACCCAAAAGCCCTGAAACCCTGAACCCCAAGCCCCAAACCCCAAAAACCCCAAACCCTAAGCCCAAAAAGACTGAAGCCCTAAACCGTGAGCCCGGAACCTTGAACCATCCTGATCAGAACGCCCGATTGCAGATGAACTTCGGCACAGAGATAGGGACGGCTTAGGGTTTTAGGGTTTCGGGTTTAGGGTTCAGGGTTTTCAGGGTTTACGGTTTAGAGTTTAGGGTTGCTAGGGTTCGGGGTTTAGGGACCTACATTGGGTCCGCCATATCATCAACCATAGAGTGGGATTGCGCTTCTCAACTCGCCTGAACCTCCAGCTCTAGCCGTAACCCTGAACCACAGGGTTTAGGGTTTAAGGTTCATGTAAGGTCATAGACCCAAGCTGCGAAGCCCAAGCCCTTGGCTTCGAAGCACATCTGAGTGGTGTGCTCTTGTTTTCCTCTGTCTCTGCTAACATGCAGACTCAGCAGTAGTGTGTGCCCCTTCTCGGGCGGGCAGTAATAAGGTCCCTCACATTCAAAAAATAACCCTAACCCCAATGGGTTTAGGGTTTAGGGTTGTGACCGTTGTGACCAGGTGCCTCATCAGCAGGTAAAACAGAAACGATAGGCCGCAACTGCACGCCTTGAGCACCCCAAAGCCTCAGCCCAACGCCCGAAGCCCAGAACCTTGAACCTTACAGCTTCAGTGTCAAAAGCTAAAGCCTCAGACTCCGAACCTT